GGGGGGGGGGGGGGGAACAACCCACACACAATGGAACAGCAAGTCTATTGCCCACCTCAGCGTTCCTTAAAATTTTTCTTCTTGTGGCTTTTATTATCCCCATCCCCAATTTTTCGTATCAGTTTTAAATTTACTGTGATTTTTTTTTTTTAATACGGTGTCAAATTTAATAAAAAACTTAGCTGCCTGCAAGTGGAGAGCATGTACTCAGAATCTTCCTGATCAAGCACTGAGGCACAGGATGTTTCAGGCTCATATTTTCAAAACCTTCTGTACCTTTTTTTGTGTGTACTTTTATCACATCCCCAAAGCAGCGGCACATTGACAGAGAAACACTGATCCAACCTAATCTAACTCTGGAAATAGTTCATTGAATTAGGAGGGGTGGGGGATGGGGAAATCATTGAAAGGGCACACAGATTTCAAGAGGAATTGCAAATATTTATGATTCAAATAAACAAATCCTGATGGTAAAGAAAGAATCAACAACTGTTTCTCATGCTGGCAATACATATTTATTGTCATTTTGGAGATAGGTTACCATGTGTATATCAGGACTTCAGACTAAAAAAAATTGGGATTATGGACTCTTAGCATATGCCAGTTGGAAATTAAATGACTGAATGTAAAGCTGACCTTTAGAAGATCTTCAGTTGGTCTCTTTTTGTACGTGTCCCACTTTTTTTTTTTTTTAATTAAAAGCTGAACATCTTCCCCTCCCCCTTCATTTCAACCTCAGAAAAATAAATTATCATCCCAATGCAGCTTTTCCTAGTTTTACTAATGATCTGCTGGCAATCTCACAACATTTACATTGTTGATTCTACAACTTCAGAAGGAAGCTAACCTTTACAAACCATGTTCTTCCTCCACTTTACCTGGCTACCGAGTCCAACGTTAAGGACTAGACTACAGCAGATTAAAGATTTGCTTATATTAGACTATTGCGGTTACATTATTATGGTGCAAACCTTCAACACAGGCGCTTTGCTGTTCTAAAACAAGCTACATCAGTGCAAGATCTGAGAGTCCGTGCAAAAGAAGCCGCAGTGCTATAAATTCTTGAAATACCTTTCCTCTCTGTCTCACATGTATTGACTAACAAATATCTTTCTCCCACTAATTTCACGAATCCCAAATACTACCCAAAAGAAAGATGAAGATATTTCATGCTTTTATACAAAAAACAAACAACCCCCACTGAAAAAAAAAAAAAATCCTCCAACTCAAATTCCCCCACCCAAAAAACCCCCAGGTCAAAACTATTTGTTCCCCACCCTCTTCTAGCTTTTATGTCACCATTAAAATAAATGCATACAACTTACTGTACAAATATGAAGCAGAAAGCATTCAACTTACAGAACATTCTGAAAATATTTCAAGCATAAAAAGTACACTTGATAATTGCAAAAATAAAGTTTCACTTTTTTTAAAAAACATTTTGATCAGAGCTCAAGCAAAACATTTAACAATTCCTACTTCAGTTTAACTTCATAAGAACACCACCTTCAGAAGTTAAAGACAAAAAACTCAGATTTTTGGTGATAAAGCAACTGACCATGTCTTTTAATGAAGAGAAATGGTATATACAACAATGGCACAGACCTTAAAGCATCAACAACGTATTTCAGCCAAAATTAAGTCTACAAGTGATCTGAGTCATTCTTAGCATCAAATGGTACTGATTACTAAGAACCATAATCTGCTAGGAATAGACATTAAGTTAGACTGGTACGAATGGAAGGAAAGATCCATGACATCAAACAGGCTCAGTTGTTGCCACTGAACTTTTTTTAGGCTAACAATTTCACTAGTGCAAGACCATATGTTTACCTGATTAAATGAAAACTCAGAAATGTCACAATTTAAGAACACTCATACAAAACTATTTTCTTCTTTTAAAAAAGTGCCACATACCATACTTTTACTAAAAAAGTTAGAAACTAATGGAAGACTGTCTGCCTCCATCTCTTGTCAACAAGGAAAGGCCAAAGTGATTCTTTGATCCCAGCTCGAAATGGCGTTCTCTGACCTATCCCCAGCATCTCCAACTTGGAGCAGTCCAGCTGAGCATTCCTTGGACGAAGAGCACCCACAACTGGACAATCAGTAATCTAAAAAATAAACAGAAAAAAACCCAACACACCAACAAGTAATGAGAAATGACAGAAAAATACTTATTCTTACATATGCTCATTTAGAAGTTTTCCTTCATAGCTTTCTATATAGGTAACATCGCCCTCCTCCCTTCCAACTATTTTGTGGGGGTTTTTTGGCTTGGGGTTGGTTTTTGTTTGTTTGCTTATTTTATGGTTAACTTCATTTCAACATAAGAGATGTCAGGCAGAGTGACGTGAAGTATCTTAAGTTAAATTTTTCTCACTCAATCACTGCTCACCATTTACGCTTTTCTACGTTTCATTCTTATTTTCACCCTATGACTATAATCACAAGGTAAAAAATGCTCTAAAAAACATTGACAGAACCATATCTTGATTGATATACTTGAAGAGAAATAGATTTGGGCAGAAAAAATTCAGACTAACTTAGTGTTCTCCATTCTTTTTCTCTCCATCTTCCAAGCCACGTTTCAGTTCCAGCCTTTACTAATTCAGAATCCTTGGAATTTATTTTGGATATAAATAAAATCTTATTTACATGTTATATTCTCACAACATTATCAGTATATCTTTAAGAGTAGTCTTACTTTTAGGTGTCAATAAAACTGCAGGACAGGTGTTTTAAGCAAAGCAAAAATTATGTGAAGTTCTTAAGTGCACGTATTCAGAAATAAATCTGGACATTGACAAGTTCTTACAGATTCCTACCTTCAAGTTAATGTTCTGTCTATCTGTAAGCTCTTTTAAGGACAAAAATACAACAAAAAAAATACATGGTTCCCCTTACTCATGACTAAGGGGAACCATTCTGCAGAAATACCATTACGCTACAGACTGCGAAACTGCTTACTGACTGACTGGGTAATTTTCATAATTCAGCAGGTCAAAGCAGCTGTTGTTTTCCTGAGTTAGATACCAGACAGCATCCTCAGCAATAGATCTGCTGTGCCAGACATACTCACACAGATCGTCCTGAAGAGGAAGCTTACTTGTATAGCTAGCATGAGACCTACTGCTTGAAATGATAAAGCACATCCATCTTTCTGTATGTCTGTCGAACACACATGACTTACAGGTCTCAAGTGGCTGCTGGGAAGGTTGAAAGCATCTGCAATTGCACATGCCATTTCATACTTAGTCATCTGTTCATTGCCAGACCAGTGAAACGTTCCTTTCACTGATGGGTCCTACAGAAGAAACAGGAAGCACAGGTGAAAAAAAGCAGCTAGCTAGCCCTCAGACTAATTCCTGTGCAAGAATTGTGCAGAATAATCTTCCTGCAAGATCCTATCCTGAAAGGCATGTTATAGCACCTCAATGATGTTCTGGAAATGTCTCGCGCATTTTCAGAGAACACTTGACTAGGGATTGAGACTGAAAACTGGTGTTACATATATCTGACCTGACTTTTCACAAACAGCTTATATTCTGTAGAATTAACAGGAGGGAACGGAGCAAGCCAACCAACCAAGGTCAAATAGCTGGTGAGGAGAAACTCTATACTATTCACTTTCTCGAAAACAAATGCAAAAGGCACCAGACACATTCTGAATGTTAAACTGCAAACCATGTACAAGTCCTAACAAACAAATTGATTGCACCACGTCTACCGTATGTGCATGGTCCATTTTTTTCCAGTTATATGTACGAAAAATAAAGGTGGTTGGTTGGTTTTGTTACCTTGCAAAGGTGATAATCTGAAGGTGCTGTGGTGAATAAACACAATAAAGTATTTCAGTCCAGCGGCTTTTTTTTGCCACCTCAGTGTTCTTAATAAAATAAACAAGGGCATCTTTGAGAACTACATTCAACCACCATGGGGTTTTTTTTAGTCCAAAATGGCAACTTGTAAAAGGCATATTAGAGTAAGTTAGGTATTTGCATTTCTCTCCTGTATACTAGAAGACACGTGACAATTTTCAGAAGGATCTGTCCCATCACTTCACTTACTTTTGTTTCAAATATCAGAATATCCACACAGTCATGTAAAGATGCTGCAGTATTACAGCTAGTTCTTTCCTCCCTCCCAGTGTTTCAGAAATGCAAAGAATAGTGCAGATTATATGCAGTTCTCAGTTGTTCAGAAACAAAGCCAAGAACTCGAACTGTTTTTTACCTTGAAGAGGCTTGTTTCTTTAAATTCTTACCAGCATTCTCTTCTCTGCTAGTTGTCTGCAAACAGTTGCTACATCCTTGACGTTAGTAGGAAATCTTTGTTGCCAGTGGTCCATGTTGGCAGATTTATTACTGAACTGCACTTTATCAAACATAACAGTCACAGCACTTTCCTCCAGTCTTTCTACCTCTCCATACAAGACAGGAATCCTAAGTACAGCAGCATCTGAAAGAAAGAATATTTTAACAAGTATTAACCTTGTTATAAATCGGTATGAATGCTGTAGCATAACCTGAAGAGTGTTTTGGAAGTGTTAAGAAATATGTTGGTGATATTAAGCATCTAGAAATCACAAAGAAAATGCAATTTTTATGTTTGCCCTCAGAATATCATTTTAATTTCTATCAATTAAAACAGTTTATAAACACTAAGTTTATACAAACTTATTTTCATTTATGCTACTGATTTCTATAAAGTTAACAAGCTGTCATTAACACTGCAAAAGAAAAAAGAAGGCCTGTTTGGGTTAGAACAAAAATTAAAAAACACCACCAAAACAACTGCACTATGGAGTTACTCCAGCTCTCCCTATCCTCCCTGGGTAAGAGCAAGAACAAAAATTCCCACTAATCACAAATCACTGTGTTCAGGCATCAGTTACAAAGATTTTTTGCCCAGCATGCAGAAGCCTCCTGCATAAAGGGGGATGTTATTTACCAGAAAAAAGACATGAACGTTGGAATGAATAAAAAGCTTGACAAATAAGGAATAGGTTCACAGAATACAGTAGTAAACAATATCAGATTTCAAGATTGCAATTTGAGAAATTAACAGTAAACAAGTGCAAAGAGAAGGATATTTTATGATGGAATACATCGTACTAGCTTATCTCAGTCATGAAGACTCAGAAGGCCTCTTTGAGGGGAAATCCAAGAAGGCTATGACAAATTCATTAAAAGTAATACAGATATTTTTACTTAAAGGAAAAAAAAATAAAATCTGTCCTGAAATTGGAAGTGGAAGTCACCAAAACATTGCAATTCTTAAAGATTTGTAGGAAAATGCAATAGCTATTAGAAAGACAAAAAGAAAAAGCTAACACACAAATTATTCTCACAGAAAAATAAATGGAAAGTAGTACTTACAAGAAAAACAAATACAATAAAAAACCCAGCATGACACTGATTTCCTGCAGCTCTAAAAACAGTTATTTGGTCACTCGGCAAATACGTTCTTCCTCTCTTTAAGTACTGCTTGAAATATCTCCCTTTTAATATCTTTAGAAGTATTCATTATTTGAGAAAAAGACTGCCTTCCTTTTTTTCTGAGAGCGCTATCTGAGACTTGGAGAGCATTACCTGAGGACCTACTGCAACTTTTTCATTTTATAAACATGAGTACTAAATATAACATGTATCCTCTCCTAACCAAAGTAAAATACATTTTAAAAAAATATGCAAAAAACCAAATTATTAGTGGAGATTCTTGCATTATACAACAGAAATGGGCAGGGAAGTTCTTCACGCAACTACAGACATTTGATAGACTGAATTCTACCTATACAATATTAGCAAATTAGTGGTTGGAAGACTAATACATGTAAAATATTTATATTTGTATGAAACAACAGAATTGACATTTTGAAGCATCTTACTCAGCACCATGTCGAAATTCCTTCTGCTAATAATACCACTGCTGCAACCCACTCCTGCCTGACAGATCATGCTCAAAAAGGTTATGAAATAAAACTGAAGTGTTCAGTTGGGGGAAGGATCTAGCAAGATACCCACACGTACTTGAATTTGGTGCAGCCTTATCTTCATTACCAGTCTAGAAGAGGGAGCAAACAGCATCACAGTCAAATTCAGAGATGATATTTAAGAAGGAGGTGGAGTGAATAACTTTTTATTGAAATTGATTTTTACTTATGTAAGACTTGTCCTATCGAAGTATTTTTTAGAAAGTCTATTTTTTACTAGTCATGACAAACCTGTATTAAGGCAAATTGGGAGTCTGAGGCCTATCATTTTCAAATACAGTATATATTTACTTACTGAAATACCATCACACTAATTTGTCAATTGTTCAGTTCTCTGGGTATGCAGAGCAGAACCACAGTGTGAGTATCATACTGACATATCAGAAGCCTCTTCTGCAAGTTCACTGAGATTATTTTCTTCAAATTCTTTGAGCAAATAGAAGTGCTTCTTTCCTCATAATCTGTGAATGGAAACTGACAGCATACTAACTAGAGACAACCAAATCTCTCTTTTGTACAAGAAATAAGTTTTAAATGCAAGGGAACATGTTCAGTCCCACGCTTTTTTCCTTTATTAAGTAGAATTTTTTAAATTATGTTTGTATATTTTGAATACCGGTTTTCATTAAGAAAAGATTTAAATAAAAAAAATAAAAAAAAAAAACAGTTGCTTAAAACCAGAACTATGTTACTAACCCTTTAGGAAGTGTTACAAGCAGGAATCTGGTGTGTGTGGTAAGCTAGGTGGGTAAAAATAAAACGGATGGCCTGATGGCTTATGTAATGAGAGCAAAACAGGAGATCAGCAAGAAAACCAAGAGAATAACAACAAAAGCCTAGGCTGATTTTATCTGCATTATTATTGAATCACAAGTCTGTTTTTCCCTTTAAGTAAACATACATTTAGAACAATTGCAATGCATCCCCCTACATAACAGCAGCTGTATATTAAGTGTGGCAAAGCTTGTGCCATTACAATATATTGATAATGTATTTTATCTTTCCTTAGAAATAGTTGATTCACAGTAGACAAAGGCTTGTGAATGTCCATCAGCAGAGACTAGTAACACAAATAAAGATTGGAACAAGTAAGAAATAAAGCTTCAGTCAACCTATAAGCAATAGGAATCGTTTATGAGCAAGGAGACTGACTCCTGATCACATTCTTTTCTAAATCTCGTTTCCATGGTTTTGCAACTTTACCACTGACTTATGAGCCTATTAAGCTAAGATACAACTAAGTAAAAACAGAACGCCTCTATTAAAAATGGGTGAGTGAATTCTTACCTTCATTATTTTCCAGGACTGCCTTTTCACCCTCCAGTTTGGTTTTACCATATAAATTCAGGGGATTTGGTACATCAGTCTCTTTATAAGGAGGGCTTGTTCCATCAAATACATAATCTGTACTAATGTAGATCAGAAATGCTCCAACTCCAGCTAGGAAGAAAATATTTATGCATAGTCTATTTTAATTCATGCCTTGTTTGAAATCCAATAAACCTTTTAAACAAATCTCCAAAAGACCTCGTCTTCTAGCCCCATTCATTCCCCTGCTTTGCCTCTTCACTGATCCTTCACACAGACATGCATGCTACCCTTACTGAAAATGGATTGACTGCACACTGATCGCAAAAATGACATTCAGCTCTTTGAGTCACTTATCTGTATTTATGTTCCTGTATAAATAAATGCAGTATTTTAACAAGAAACCAAATCCATTAGATGGTCTCCTTACCTGCCTCTTTCGCTAAGTTCCCTGAAGCAGCCACATTGAGCTGAGAAGCAGCATCTGGTTGACTTTCTACAACATCTGGCCTTCTCTCAGCAGCACAATGCACTATAACATGAGGCTGGAAATTAAAGACTAATTTTAAACAACAAACATTCTCAAGAGATTGCAGTTGCACCCTAACTCTAGTGATGAACTCCCTCAGGCAAAAAGGCATTTCACCAAGTTGCGAGAAATAATAAAAGTAGTAGTAGTATTTTTAATCATGGTATTCTGAGGAGCAGGTTTTCCTTAGGAAGTAAAATAGAACCATGCTGCTTCAAGATTTCATATTAGAATACCAAAAAACCTGAGCATTAATTTTGCAATTATGATCTTCAGTAGCTTCGATTTTACAGCAAGATAGAAGTTGTTGGGTTTTCTTTTTAAGTCAGTAAAATAATATAAAATAATATAATATAATATATATGTCACACACACATTGGTACTTAAAAGAAAAAAACATTAGCCAAACTATTTTTAGATAAGCCATTTACACATGGCTTATTTGACATATGCAGACTATTAAGAAGATATTTAAAGCCACTTTATAGAATGGCACCCTGCATAAAGTATTTCAGGTTTTATATATTCCCCTCGCAAATCAGATTGAAAAAACAGCAAACTTCTTACTGCACTGCATGGTAGACATGCAGTTACTGCTGTTGTATTCAAGTATTCTTCAGCTTTGAAAGAACCACTTCATATTACTATGTCAATAACTCACATTTATCTTTTTCTTTCAACTATCAGTGCGAGTATGCTGACATGTACATCTGTTATCTGCAGTCTGCCTATGGTGATGATAGCAGAGTTCAGAACTATCTGTATCTACAGAGCAAACCTACACTCCATATAGCTTTTCAGAGCTCTGCCAGAGCATTAGCCCCACTAAAGCCACATGAACTCAGTATTAGAACAGCACTGTCAGCTGATCACTAGATGTATAAAGTACCTATCCATCTACTTCAGACTCCAGAAACTTACCTGAAAATCATGGATAATGTCATGAACTGCAATAGAGTCCAGAAGATTAATCTGTTCAAATCTGGGCTGAGCTCTCCTGTATCCACAGCCAACTGCATTCCAATTATTTTCATTGAATTCTTTAAACACAGCTCTGCCAAGAAGTCCCGTAGCACCAGTAATCAAAACTCGCCTACTGGGAATATCAACATCTTCCTAGGGAAATGAGAACAGGAAAAGTTTTCTTTATACTGTTGTTTATTGCTGTTTTTTCTTAAGAAGTATGCCGGGCTACAGTCAGTGCTACTGTATTAGCTTTCCTTGCCACATGAGTGTTTTGGAGTGGCTCATGGAACGCAAACATCTGGGAGCACCAATACTGTACCTAGTCAAGTATGTCCACTTATTTTTGAAGATACTGAAAACAAAACTTAAATGGGAAACTCATTTACTTCTACAACAAGAGGAGAAAACAAACCAAACCACTAATGAAGACGGAATTTTAAGTTCACTCAAAATCTGATAATTTTGTGCAATTTGAAATGAGGGAAATAACTTCTTTTGAAAATGGACCAAAAATATTTAAGATTTAGGGTCCACATCCTGCAACAAATAATTTTGGATAGACTGTGCCTGTTAGAGGCTGCAGCAATATGCTACAACGCACTGTGGCCCTGTCTACAATGGTCGTGAGAATTGAAGGCTTGAATTTTATTATTAAATAGAACAGTAATTCATCATTATTCAACACAATAGTCTCATAGTAAGTAAAATCAAGATACAGCTCTCTTCTCAGTTTTACAAAACGCATCTGAAAGCCATTTGATAATTTAAACTCTCAATCTATACAACATACTAAAGCTTTACTTCAGCTACCACACATTTCAGTACTTGAGACAGTTGTGTACATCAGTTCACGCAAAGTTCATTCCTCTCCACCACTCACTAGACCATCAAGTTTTCAAGACAGCAAATACAAGATTCATGTCTGTCTGTGCAATCTTTATTTTCCTTTCATGCTTTGCTTCTGCACGTATCATGGAACAAGAGCCTGCTAAAAACAAAAACAAAAGCATGTGCTTACATGCCAGCACAGAACAGAACTTCAGATGTGCAGACTCCATAAATCTTGGGTTTCCTGACCACTTTATACACAAGGACAACTTGTGATAATCGATTATAATTTTGGAAATGCTCTCTACTATGCAATTCAAATAGCCCAGTCACTTCTGAGCATTCTTACATTTTCAGCATTCTAACAGACCACTAGTTTTTGACTGCAGCGCAGGAAGCAACAGAAATCGCTTCCAAATTACTGTCTGTCTTTCCCCCTTAAAGTTAAAAAGCTTTTGTTCCATGAGGGTATATGCAGAGGCTCATTATGGAAACAGCCTATCCCAAAACAATTGCTTGAAGTTCCCAGCGTGCTGCATGCGTCTTCCTCAACTCTAAATCTTCAGGCAAGGATGACTTATTCCCATCAGTACTGGATGAAGATTAGTAATTTATATCTGGACGGTTTCCTGAAAATGACAAACTACAGCAAGTGATGTTTTAAAAAGTTACCTTTATCTTTACAGTCAATTTGACCTCAGAACACAAGTTTGTTTACAATTTTTTAAGGCTGCCCACCTTTCTATGAAAAGCATAAGCAAGAACATGCAAGTATTGTTTTCTTTTTTTGTTACGTAGTTTTTATCTTCGCAAACTCTGGATAGAGCATCATAGGACACGTTATCAGCGCTTCTGTAGCCAGAGGGTACCCGCTAATAAACATCAAAGACTTGCTGCAGAAAAGAGTTGAAAGGTTCTCTAAAAACTTCACAGAAAATCTTTAATAAGTAGAAAGCGACCAACACAAAAACGTGTCATTTGTAAAATCTGATGTTTTTAAACATCATTCATCTAAGTATGTTTATTCTACGCATCATAAAGAGGATGTTACATTAGCAGCACAGCTTGAACGGAACACGGTCACAACTTTTACCAAGTACAGTTTGCATCCTGTTGCTCTTGTCTGCAAGACTAATTGATTTTAGTCACTTTTTTCTGGGAAACCAAGGTAAGTAATAGATGTTTCCCATAAGTTCAACACAAAGCGCCTACCAGTTCAAACGTATTTCACCTTGCCAGAAGTTGAACATTCTGGTAATACAAAACCTGCACAGATTAACTCTTTCCCTGTATGCTCCCTTGCTTCTTTGCAGAACGTCGCCCAGCTGCAGCAGCGTTTCTGTCTCAGAAACTACAGGCAACAGAACGTCTGAGTCCAAAGGACCTCTGAGGTTTAATGTTCCCACCACTGCTGTTTGCAGATGCTCTCGCAGACTTGCAGAAGCTACTGCTGTCGCCTCACAGCTATCCACACACAGGCAAGTGAATACGTTAACAGCACCGTATACCTCAGCGTAGCAACCACATTGTCTTTCGTAGTCACCAAAGCTAAAAATTTAATTGCTGTTACTTGCTTTATCCTGCAAGGAATTAATCAATCACCGTCCTCTAGAAGAGAAGGTGGCAAAAAATCTGTATCGACTACCTAGTAGTATCAGTACTTAGCTGAAACCACATATGGTATAGCATCTTCTTTTTGACTTTTGTTAATTTACATACTTTTTCTTAAATACGGCCAGAGTATTAATTATGTCATGCAACTAAAAGATAAGACCGCTCTTAACTGTTATCCTAACGGGCTACAAAGTACGCTTAGAATTTGCACTAATTTTATAGACGGTTACTGTATATAAAGAATAAGAGCCGTTTTACAATTCAAATGTTATCATTTTGCCTGCAAGTTTTACAGGCTTAAATGCAAGTTCTCGTTCAGATTAGCCCATCTGCTAACAAATCTTTTACGAGTGTTTCACGGCTAAGAATCCATCACATGCAGAGTCATCAAATGTGCAACAAGTTCTCTTAGCAACTAATTTTGAATACTACTACTTAAATGTACAATTTTGATCTTTATAATAAAGCATCCAATTTTATTTTGCTTTATCTGATGTTCAGTATTCACTAAGAATTAACGTAATAAAAAAGAATTGTACTCGGCAGTCTCATTCACATAAAAATATACAAGCAACAACATCGTAAAATTAAAAAATAGCCTTTACGAGACCTCAGATGACTTTGTAGACACTGCCAAAATACAAAAGAAGAGTAAATTTACAGAAATAGTAAAATGCGATGCATTTCAAGGTAAAAACAAGATACAAGTACTTTTTAAGCTTTATATAAAAACTGAACTTGACGAAATCACGACGGACTCAAAAATATCAAGTTTAAGGAGCACCCACTAAAAACGAAAGCTACTGGCACAACACAGATTTGCAACATAACACGGTAACAAAAAAGTCACTACAAGACTGAGCTCTTCATTCAGCTTTGACGTCCCTTACAGCAACAAAAAGCAAAAGGAAAGCCAACAGGCTTTCTTACTGTCACGGGCTGACAAGGGAATACGTATTAACGGTGACAAGAAGTTGTCAGGCGTTTAACTTACACCTCCGACGCGCACAGCTGCAGCAGTCAAAAGCTACACCTGCTGAACATCACTGATGATAAAACGTGACAACAGAAAATAACAAGCCCAGGAAAGGAACGGTATGCGGAATTACTGCAGAGTCCCCTGTTACAGATGAGTCTTTTCTATGTAATAGAGCCGCCAAGATTAAGCGGTTTAACAATTAAGTGGGCTTAACAGACATAACTTCCTGCTACAAAACAAGAATCTCTTTACAGTAATTAACGTGAAGATAACGTAAGGAGATACGAAATTATCCAAAGTTCTAGAGCTCGCGGGTAATCCCCGATAGGGGAGAAAAGGTAACTGAAACAACTGAGAAGGGAAGACCCCAGCGACAGAGCGTTAGCGAA